TTTGGTTAGCCCAATTGTGGTTGAGAGCATATTTCCCACAGCTTGGTGCTGCACCATCCCCTCCTAGATCAGTCACTTGTTATGGGCTATTCATCCATCAATTAAGCCCTGTAAATATGTCTGCCAGAGATGTCTTCACATTCTTTTATACTTTGAACTCAATTTCTTCATTCTTTCCTTTTTCTGCTCATCGAATCCCCATTTTTGTCCGACCTCCTTCTACCATGGATGAATTAAGTTTGTCTTTACCTATCTGGGTTCAGTTCCTAGTTGGAAGGGAATTGTTCCATGACATCTTTACTGGGACGAACGCCAAGGCTGGGTTTGAAGTATACGCTCCCCAATTTTTTGCCCGTTAGCTTAAGGTTGGCCAAACATGGCCCATTCGTCTCTGTTACTCTAAGAATTTGATAGAACGTTTCTATCTCATAAGTAAAATTGAGGCTAAAACCATCGATGCTCGTAATAAACTTCTGACCAAAGGCTTCTCTTTTGCTCCCTTCAATTCCACAACCGTTACACATCCGTTTTTTGATCAACTCTGGCCGTCTGTGAAACGTAGGTTGTTTACCATTGATGCTAATCGTGCCTTTCATTGGCTGGATCGGTCAGAAACTTCTTCTACTTCTCCCATTCTTGTTACTCCTTTGTCCATTAGAAGTCCTTCTCAGTTACCCTCAATTCGTACCAAGCATCCAAGTCTCCTACTTGCTTCTCCATCTACCCGGTCTATTACAACCAAAGGTGCCTCTAGCCACAAACGGCCGCCTACGGTTTCCCCAATTTTGCAAGGTGCTGCTAAAGATGATGATGATGATGATATGCCTCTTATCTACAAAAGAAAGGTAACCGAATTTTTATCATGAAATAACGTCCTTCATGTATTAATACTTTACTTGAATTTTCAGAAGAGTTCGGCTTCTCTTTCGAAGGCTCTAGTTTCAGCATCTCCTGCTCCAACGCCTTCTGCTGAAACCATTTCCACCTATTCGGCTGATGAAGGGACTCTACTTAGAGAAAGATCTTTAGTCCCAGAGTCCTCGTCACAACCAACTGAAGGATTACCATCTTCCCAGGGCCTTAACCCCCCAAGTGTTGAACCAAAAGGTAGAGCATCTTTTGGTATCTTCACCCCTGTTTCTGCTAGCAGTTTTTGATTCATTACTTCTTGAAT